GTTATCAGCGTTCTGATGGCATTTTAGCCAAAGGATTTTTATCAAAAACATAATTAATGTGCACAAATAAGGAATAGCTGTATTAACCATAAATGTAAAAGGAGTTTTATGGGGCCCCCAGGCCACCGCCTACATCAACCAATCAGAGAAGCTGATCTGGGAGCTGACAGGGAGATAGAGACAGAGCTGCTGATGCAGAGCGCCATGATCACTCCTCTGAAACTGTTTACGAACACATAAGCTAACTTAAAATGTCGAAAACTGAAAATGTGTTTGATTTTATTTCTCAAAAAAATACTATTTGAAGGCAGGATGGTAATCTTAATAAACTGACTGCCCAGATGAAGTTTTCAGATGGTTTATTACACATTAAAATTACTTTTTATCCACTTTTAAAAGAAAATATAGCAAAGCCGCTCTCTGCCACTGAGCAAAGGAGCAGCAGAAGCATCAGACGCATCTGGACTCACTTTACTGGACGTCTGACCTCGATTTCATCCACCATTGTTCCAGGCAAAGAAAGGTTAGGGTAGCTCCGCCCAACGAGCATCAGACCCACTTTTTGACTGAGCAGCTAGAGCAGCAGAGATGCTTCAGCTACGTGTCAGAACTGAAATTGTACAAGCATAAAAAATGAAGCAGACGCTCATTTTTGCTATTAGTAGCATTAGTGAATTAAAATTATGCCTGATTGAGGGTTATGATGATTAATTATTTTTCTGTAGACAAAGATAAACATGATAGTTCTTTATTATTTAAGTTAATAAGAACATTTGCTGGTCGTCATTATCAATGCTGTGAGGTTTACCCTTTTAAAAATTTTAAAATGATATCAAACATTTCTATTGATCAATCTTTTTATACATGCTTTATCCGTTATGATACCTTGACAATCTAATTACAGTTTTATATTTCCACTTCATCTATTGCATAAAGATGCATATGGTTTATGTTCCTGTTTTAGACGTATGGCAAGTGGAGGTGTTAAGAAAAGCCTTGCTTTTAGAAAGCAGTGTATTATTCAACAAAGATAGCACTAATTGCAAAGGGAGAACGCTTTTGTTTACTCACCTTGGACAGCTCAGCCTGAAGCCAGAACATTCAGTTTTCTCCCAAATAAATATTATTAAAACCCTGTCCTGTCTATCTCTGCCTCTGCGCACTTTTATCTTCTCTCATTAGGATGAAAAGCAGGAGAGGGTTTCTGGGAGGACATGTGCTCTGACATGGTCACAGCATTTTAATGAGGGGATGTGTTAACACTGTGGTTTTTCGGCACAAATCATGATTTCCTCCTTTTAAAAGTGTTCAGATGTTGTCAGGATAGATTCCTTTGATATGCATGTAAATCTTCTTCTGCTTGACCTCTACGTATTTTCCTCAAACAGACCTTTACTACTGGAGTCTTAAATCAAAGAAAATGAAGAATGTGAAAAACAAAGTGCACTGAAGAGGTGCTATTCTGTTTCATGTTGGACTCTTAAGTGCACTTTCAATATTTGATGTTCTATTTCCAGTAATATCAGATGCTATCTGATGATGAACACACCCATCTGTGTTTAATACTTTGTAAGATAAATGCTGGGGCTTCAAAGATTCTAATTTGCTTCTGTCTTTCGTTTTTAAGCGACTGGAAAACCCCAAACGAGGTGGCTATAACCAGGAGGATGCAAGGAGGACCTGGACATATTCATCAAATGAATCAGAATGTGTTTGGATACCTGACCTGATCAGACAGCAAACGCTTGCTCCTGTGAGTATGAATGTGTTAATGGCATTAGCAACAATCATGTTTAGCATAGCTTCGTTGGCAGATGGTGGTTGGAGTATTTGGGCATGATTGTGGTTGCTCAGCTCTTCAGGGATGCTGGATTGTCGGGCTGTCTTTTGGCAGGTCCCTCATTTGGCATGGGAGGAGGTTTGCAATGTGTTGGTGGGTAAGGGTTACATGGGATCTGCCCATGGAGGCCCGCTGGGTCTCAGAGTGTGTTCATTTATCTTGGTCCACCGTGTGCTCAGTTAAAACAGATATACTGTAGCCTCTCATGCCTTTGATTGAATAAAGTCACCCGTGCAAGAGGAGGAACACCTTATTTTCACATGTCTGTGCCACAGAATGGTCACTATTGTCACTTTTTGACAAAGCTACCAGGACATCACTGCAGAACTATTTAGAAATAAGTAAAAATGTCTCAAATTAATTATTTACCCTTAATTTTAGTTGGTAAATAAGATATTTGATAAGCACTTGAAATAAGACAATGCAACTGTTTTTTTTTCTTATTTTAAATGTAAATTGTCTTGTTCCATTGGCAAGGGTCTCGCTTACCTTCTCATTTCAAGAAAAAAATCACTTATTTTATGAAAAATTTAATAATTTATATATGTGATTTTTGTTTTTGCAATGTTTTTATCTTTCTGTGAAGCACTTTGGTCTTCCTGGTGTTGTTTTAAAATGATATATTAATAAACTTTGATTTCATTTGATTTTTTTATACCTTTATTATGCCATGGCTTTTAACACATAAAACTATAAAGAGAATGAAACTATACCGGGTGTAACTCGACATAACTTCAGGTGTAACTTGCAACATGATTTCAGATTTTAAATCTAGTATTGACATTTCTGGCATCAGTTTCCAGTTTAGGTTCTCATCCCATTCTTGATGATCAATTACTGTGTTTGAGCAAAATTTGCCAAATAAGTGGGCAAATTTTTAGCCAAGCAACACAATTGCAACTGTGGACAAATTTAATAGATAGCATGTTAAAAATGTACTGTCTCTATAGAAGCCACACAATGACTGAAATGAAAGTGTGTAAAACTACAGAATATTTCAGTAACGGCTATAATTGATCATCTTTTCTCTAATATTTTGTTTTTTTTTTTTTTTTTGTTGGCTTGCAAAGATATCACATTATAATACTTGATTGATCAAATGAGACATTCTTTTTTTCAAAGTGGCATTTTACAGTAGCAGCCATTTAAAAATGGCCCTTCCCAGTCAAAATGCAGCCGACCGGCAGGAAAATCTCCTCTAACTTCCAGCCACTGACCGTCTGCTGGGTGTGCATATTTTTATACTTTGACTCCACCCTTTCACTGAATTACAACATCTGACTAGGAGATAAAACTTCTCTTTAGATCTTAATGTCCACAAATCATGACAGAAAGAATATTTTAGACGTTTAAAAAGGAATTGTAGGGGAGAAGCAAAGGACTGGCCAAGGGCCCATCAAGGGAAGTGGGGACATTTTAAATGGCTTCTACTGTAACTCTCTGTGTACATTAGAAACATGTCATTTTTACTCTACAAGGAAACTTTTCGCTAAAATATTATCAAAGCAAATCCTTATCACTAAACATTTCTCATTTCTGGAGCATGACATGTCTTTAAACCCACATTTCCACATTCTGTCAATTTATCAAAGATTTTAACTCAGCTGTCAGTTTTTTTTTTTCCACCACTTGGAATCATTTTCTCTGACAGCAAACATTTTTCAAACTATTTAATGTCCTTTTTTAAGAGCATCATCCATGAAAGTGAAACTGCAGGCTGTTTGATAGATTGTCTACCCGCAACATTTCTATGTTAACGATGAATTGAAATACAGTTTTTTTGTGTATAGAAATGATTATGATAAAAAAAACTCCAACTTTACTAAGCAAACACTTTAAAACAACATTAGGGGCACAGAATGGCAAAATGGGTGATTCCCACCAGATATAAATTTCTTTTGAACTTCTTCATATCAATAACCAACTCAAAACCTCTAATATATGTTTAATAGTTTAATTTAGCATAATTTAAGCTATATGTGGGAATAAAATCTTATACAGCATCTAGGAGTGTAAGAATACACCATATTTTAGGAAAAATGAAACCTGCAAAGAACCGAAATGTTTCTCTGTAAAAAAAAATGTTGCGTCCATAATCCCTGAAGCTCAGCTGAAAAAACAACAACATAAAAAAAACGATGTAACTTGTGGGTAAAAATCTACCTGTAAAAACATCTTCATGGTCAAAAATCTGTATTTATAATTTCAGTGTCATAAATAGCTTACTGGAATATTGCAATAAAACCAATGAAACCATGATGTCAGATATTTCTGAAAACAAGAAAAAAATACTTCCGTTTACTTTTTAAAAGAAAAATATGGATGTGGTTGATATTGCTTAAAAATATATATATATATCTATATAGCAGAGTCCAGAAAGCTTAGATTCACAAAGCAGTCTTTGTGTCTTAAGCCGTTTGCTGAACCTCTTTTCCATTATATTCTCTCTTCCTGATTGAAAATTGGCGTCTATTCTGCTTTCAGTGTAGCAGTCATTCTTTCCCATTATCCCAGGGGCAAAGCTCCCATGACATTGAGTTAATCCCTGATTGTTTCACCTTTTCTTTCCAGAGGGTGGAAGCAGATAAGAAGTTTTAGATAAGTGGTGGCTGGATGACTCTTAACACACTATGAAATAAAGAGCAGCTGAGATGTAATTTTCCAGACAAATTGGGTTCATTTTCCAAAAGTGTTGTTGAATTCTTCTGGTCTTTGCAAGTATTTTAGACTCCATTTAGCTGATAAAGTTGGCTGCTTGATGTGTGGCATTGCTGTCAAACCGGTTTACATCAGGGTCATTTTTATCAGGTGATAAAGTACATATGAGATATGCTAATGTAGAGCTGCGCTGTATGGTGGCATAGATTCTCGGTTATATCTACATGAGATCAATTTTACCATTTCTTTGTCTCTCATCTGAATCTTGTTTGTATCAAAATATTTCATTATTTTCAATGTATGGCTGTTTTTGTTATCAAAGGTTTTTATCATGTACTTTTACAATTGGTTTCATACTTAGGCGAGTAATGTAAGGCACGCTGTGAGCATTCATATCAACAACAACAAGCATCAGAAAGAAAGATGTACAATAAGGAGTGGAGTGGATCAAACATAGCACAGACCACGCTTCAAAATTGGGCATAAATCAAAAATATCTGCATCATACCTGCTACAAGCTCACTGAGACACACTGCTGTCGGAGTATAATCAGCCCTTAAGTCATGGTGTCTTGTTTATCCAAAACCTATAAGTAACTTGTGCGTAACTTATCAAGAACTTATCTCCAATGCATTTCAACGTATTTGAGGTGTTCCAGACGACCGCTGAATGTAGCTGAAAAATGAGTTGTCCAACATTCTCTGGCTTTCACTAAGTTATAAGAAGGTAAAAAGTAAGAAAAATCTAAACAAGCAGGGAGCGAGGGAGAGATGCGGAAGTGAGCGGTAACATATCCGGCAACTCTCATTATATAGTTATCTTTTAGTAGGTTTTATATATGATGTTTTTTTTGTTTGTTTTCCCAGGTTTCATCAGCAGAGAGCCATGAATTGGAATTTAGCTGTAAAGGTGGAATGATCCTTTAAGGAAAGCAATAATGGGCCATTTAGATGAGAAAAGGGTTCATGATTTATGCAGCAGACTGCAGCCTCATGAAAATTGTTGTATAGAATAGAAAATCCCTTTATTGTCCCACAATAGGTGAATTGTGGTCTTCTATCTATGGGACTTCTTGTGCCTGAGTAATTTATATTTGGAGCACTGATATTTATAAGCACCATATAGACCCATCCGCTTAAACACATCCATAGTCAGATGCTAATCAAAGACCTATCTGTTGCTCCTCTGGGTTTTAGAGTCTTTTGTTTTGTATAAGTTTTAGTTTGATCATTTGAATCATTGGGAGTGCTTGTGTAACCTCTTCTGAATGAATTCTAAGAACAAATCGTATTTGTTTCAAAGCAGACCGCGGACTGCAACCACAGTTGAGACTAGAACTGTTTGCACGTGGTAAATGTTCACATTTCGTCGACCAGGATTTTTTGCAGCTTGGTCATTAGAATATAATCTGGATATTGATGAATGCAAACACCCAATAAAGGTTTCTATAAACTGTCTGCTGAATGGCTTTATTATTTACTAATAAAGAACAGTTGGGGAACTCGCTCAGTCATCCATCCATCCATCCATCTCCATCCATCTTCCTCCGCTTATCCGGGGTCGGGTCGCGGGGGCAGCAGCTTAAGAAGGGAGGCCCAGACTTCGCTCAGTCATCTTTATTTTTTTTACATTTTATTGTAAGTGGCTGAAAACAGTTCTCTGTACTTGTTTCCTTTAGCATATTTTTTTCTAGCTAAAATGTCCCTTGTTCCTCGGGGATCTCTGAGAAACAATGTCAACTTGTTTTTTTTTTAGTTAAAAAATGGACTCTCTGGTTGCTGCGAAGGCGCACAGATTAAGTGCATGACCCATGTAGAGGCCCCAGTCTGCAACTGAGCTGTCTGTTCACTGTCAAAAATGATAAAAAGGCCACTGCTGCCTGAAGGAAAATGTTAAAAAAGAAAATTTACTTTCTGGAGTTCTAGTCTGTTCATTGATTCTTTGTTATCCTGTTTCTTTTGGGACAAGGCACCACCCTATACTATACTTTAGATTTTGTCTTACTCTTTGGGTCGTCATAAAGCTGCATTGTAAGTTGAATCATTTTCTTTCTTATGGTTTGTTAGCATTAAATAACTATGACTTTGGTTTCTGTAGCTGGTATTCCTATTTTTAGCAACACTCCACACATTTTGCCACCTCGTAAAGATGTGAACAATTTCCTTTAAGATTAACTCAGCTTTTAACTGCAAATAAAAACATATATTTAAAAACATCTCTATTCTTATTACATTGTAATTCTGTCAAAAAAATAA